ATTATTTTAAAATTGTTGTAAATAATTAATTTTACGCCAGGGGGAGTCGTTACGCTGCGTTAAAGGTCAGACGCGTGGTGTGTGTGTGAAACTCGTGTGTTGAAATCGATTAATAAAATGGCCAGTATTCTATTTTCTTCCTTTCGAAAAGTTATGGTTCCGACTGTTAGAATGGCACGATGTTTACACGTAAGTTCGAAATTAATGGCGGCGAAAGTTCAACAGAGTGCTCCGAATTTTAAAGGAATGGCAGTTGTAGATAAGCAGTTTAAAGAGGTTCAATTAGCAGATTATAAAGGGAAATATTTAGTTTTGTTCTTCTACCCTTTAGACTTTACCTTCGTCTGTCCTACGGAAATTATAGCATTTAACGATAGAGCAAAAGAATTTAAAGCTCTCAATACCGAGTTAGTAGCTGTCTCCACAGATTCACATTTCAGTCATTTGGCATGGGTTAACACTCCCAGAAAGCAAGGTGGACTGGGTGACATGACAATACCATTATTATCCGATTTTACTAAAAGTATAGCAAGCGATTATGGAGTTCTTTTGGAAGATTCTGGAATAGCATTGAGAGGACTGTTCGTCATTGATCCAAAGGGAATTGTTCGACAGATTATTGTCAACGATCTTCCTGTTGGAAGATCCGTAGACGAAGTTCTGAGACTTGTCAAGGCGTTGCAGTTTGTGGAGAAGCATGGAGAAGTTTGTCCCGCCAACTGGAAACCTGATTCTCCTACTATTAAGCCGGATCCAGAAAAGTCAAAAGAATATTTCGAAAAAGTCAATTAATAAATATACTGACTATTTATAATTAGCCTTAAAAGTTTTCTATGGTAACAGTAAACATGATTATATAAGAGTGTAAAGAGCCCGAATATTATAGATACACGTCCTGTGTTACTGATTGTTATCCCTTGTATATTATAAATACTCGTTCTATGTTATCCCTGTATTTGAGTTACGTAAGAATTGATATCTTAAATTTTATGAGTAAGGTTATAAATCCTTTAGAATTTTGTTTATAATTCAATAAAGTTATATTTCAAACTGTTCTGTTTGATATTTAATTATAATTTTGTAAACGAGGTTTTATTATTTTTCAACACTGGAATGGTGCTTTGCCTGGTAGAGCGGCTTTAATACAGTGAGATGAGCAAGCTAACGATAGTCTATTTCAAATGAAACGAGCTGTGTCATTGGTTTATTCGACTGCAGTAAAGCCAATTGATAAGTTAACGCGCCAATTTAACAAAACGGCAAAACATTTCTACATAAATTCGATATTGCTTTGTACCAGATACTTTCATGCGTATCATTCTTTAACAGAAAAGTAACGAATGGCTAAGATGGCAGCCTATCGCTCTGGGACAGCATATCGCCTGGACAGATCGAAACCCTCCCAGGAATTTTTCGGATTGATCCGTCCGAAATTATTGTACTGTACCTCGTCTTTCATCTGGCCGGCCAGTCATTGGCTTGGCCGAATTCAAAATGAGCTTTCTAGAAAAAATGCCCTGTTAGTGATCATAGGGCGGAAAGAGTTAATTAAAAGTAAAACCAGAAAATTAATGAACTTATTTTTCTAAATTGTATGTTTTATCTTGTAAGAATACTAATAAAAGTAAAGCAGCTGAATATATCTTAAGATTTATAATTGCGAAATATTAGATCGTGGTAGGTGATTAAACCAGGATATCAAGTATCTGGCTCTCCAATCGAAAAACTCGAGTTTTGTGTATTGGAAAAACCTCCCCTATTATGGACTTGACCCTTTGATAACAAAAACTCCCATTTAGTATCCATAAGATGAAAAAACTGCAATTAAAAAAGTAAATGAGAAATACTTTTGAATGGAATGTTCCAATCGCTTTCCTATTGTAATTAAACATAGCATCGCACCTAAGTTAATCGACGAATGAGTGTATTATTTCGTACGTTCGTTCGGCTCTAAAGTCAAATAGTAAATGATACAACAGCATTTAACTCAATCCAAAGGATAATGAAAATGAAATTGTGTTCGGGAAAGCAATAATTTTTTTAGTACAGTAAGTACAATTTAAAAGGCTCTCTAAGTGCCCACAGGGTATCGGCCGGATGGCCGAGTGGTCAAGATGGAAGTTTACCGCTCTAGGGGATCCGGAACGAGTCGAAAAAGCTCCAAAAAATTTCTAGGTGGTGGTCTGTCCTTCAACAATTGGCCGCCCTATTGTGAGTTTAGCCGAACCCATAACGGGCTTGCTAAAAGTTGCCCTGTTATTGCCTACAGGGCGGAAACAGTTAAAAAAAAAAGTTTAATTTTTAAATACAGTAGACGAAGAATAAAAGTTATATTATTACTATCAATTTAACAAAATTTATTTTTATCGCTAAATTATAATTAAACTTTAAATATAAATAGAAATCATTAATTATAAAAAAAAAAAAAGCGATATTCGCAAAACATTTCTGAGATGGCGCTGTTGGTGCCAGACGACAACGTTTGACAAAAGCAGGTAGCAAATATTTTTTTTTATAAATTTGTTTAAAATTTTTTTTTATTTCGAATGAAAAGTTTCGAAGAAGTTAAACGAATTTATAAATTCGTATTGCATATTTGCTTGATTATCAATAAATATCGAAATCTATGAAATAATTTACAAGTTTTATGATAAATTGCCATCATTTATTTACTGTAAATTAAAATTCATATTTTCAGCTTTAAGTCTTGATTGCATTGATTTTTTCCACTTCAGACTATTTAAATACCTTTAAAAAATGAAATAAATAAACAATTTATTCATTCATTTCTAATTTGTGTAATAATAAATTCATTTCTGTTTTACGCATTCAAAGAAAGTGTTATGTACGAGGATTTTGTCTAGCCCACTGGTGGCCGAGTGGATGAAGCCGCCAAATGCCAGTTGTGGGTCATACCCTGCCGATGGGGCAGCCCATGACCAGCGTTGGGGTTGTGGGCCATCCTGTGGGGAACAGACTCCTACTTGGATGTTACGCAAATGAAGAAAATGGATTTTCTTCATTTGCGTAACATCCGAGTAGGAGTCGGTTTCCTATAGAAAGTCCTCCCAGGAGGCACTGTATCATCTGTGCTGTGCTGCCTTAAACCAGCCCACAATACTATTACTCAAATGTTCAAAAATGCAGTATAATTTTAATTTTTAGATGTTTTTGGTTATCTAAAACAATCTCCTGGACAAATAAACAAATTTCAATTTAAAAAGAACAACAAAAGCTGGAATGTCCTCCAAAACAAGATAATTTTGAATATTAATGTTTTAAAACAAAAAAACAATTTAATATATTTAGAACTCCAATGAGCATTTAAATTTTTGATGTTCTAGAACATTAATATCCAAAATCAACTTGTTCCAGAGGGCATTCCAGTTTTTGTTGTTCTTTATAAGTGAAATTTGTTTATTTCTGTTCTGAAGGAGATTGTTTTAGAGGACCAAAAAAACATCTAAAAATTAAAGTTATACTGCATTTTTGAACATTTGATAGTAATAATATGGTTTATGACAAGTGCAGTTTTCACAAAAGTTAAACCAATCTAATGCAATGTCTTACATCTTACTCTATAGCTATTCTCTATGCCTTTTTCCTGTCCTCTTGTCACATGTTTATATCCAAAATATTATTTGTTTGGCACTTATCTAGGGCGGTCAAGATTAGAGAGGCAAAATATGAGAGTACATATAATAGAAAAGATGAAAGATGTTTTCAGAGGGAAAGATATAATTTATATAATTTGCAATTAAATACAAAACTGAATTATAGATGATTAAAAATATACATTAGAAATTGTTATCCTTTTGGTTCATAGATTTTCATATCCAAAAGTGTAGTATACATCTGTAGAACAGTGTTGACATAATTAAAATTCAACCTTTGAAATTCTAATGAGAAGTTGTTTACAATAAAAACATTTTTGATTGGATTGAGTGGTCATCTTCAGTTACTGAACATTTAAATATACAGTTATAACGAGGAAGAAATTACACCTCAATACAAAATTTCCAGCAAAGAAATTCAATATTTTAATGTTTTCGGCCACTATATCATATTCACTAAAATCAGCTTAGATTTTGTTACAACATGAAAATAAAATATGAATTTATGGACATACAGGTTCTGGAAAGGACATACATATGTCTGAAAAGTTATTGTGCATTAGAAATGATTTAAGTAAAATTTTAATAAAAGTGAAGTTTTACATTAAAATTGCAGTTTCTCCTACAACAAATTCCAGAAACATTCTCCAGAGGTCACAAAATCTGGGGGGGTGAGTTCTGGTGACCAAGCAAGCCAGATACCATGGGAGATTATGTATTTGGCAAAGTTTTCCAAAAACAGAATATCCACAAGGTAGTAGTAACACCATCTGCTACAAAGTGGAAACACAGGATGAGTGACTTATGGGTCTTGTATGCATTGCCATACGTATAACTTTAATGTCTCAAATTTCTCGCTGCCAGTAACTTGGACACCCTTTATTTGTGTTTTCTAGCAAGACAGACTATAATTTGTGCTATAAATTAACATGTTTTATATTGAAATTCTATACAGTGAGTTATGTTTAAATGAGCAATATATAATTTTAGAATTTTTATACGTGAAATGTTTAAATATTTCTATTTAATTTTTTAGGGATAATGATGAAAGATACAGAAAATACTAATTCGCCACTTCAAGTGGGTGATATATTAGCCGAATTCTTTGCAAAAAAAATGGACCAAATGACAGATATCAAAGCAAATGTAGAAACAAATGAAAACAGTAGTAGTAATGATAGCAAATATAGTTATGTTGAGAAGAAAAAGAAAAGAGAAAGGAAAAGTAAAAAGAGAAAGCATAAACATAAAAGATCAAGAAGGAAAAAAAGTAAACACTCAAGTGAAAGTCATCGAAAACATAAAGTGAGTTGGTTTATTTATTTATTATAAAACAAATAATAGATTAAATAAATTTTTATGTAATTGTTAACTGTTATAGCAATACTTCATTTGACATTAAAGAATGTATTTCAGATGTTTTTAAAAAATTGAATACATCTGAAATATAAGGATATCCAATAAAATATGGATAATTCATATTTAATATTTACAGTAACTAAATATTTGGATAATCATATATAAAATCAAATCTGACATATGTTAATAATCAAGTAATATAACTGGATTCTTATTGGGCTATAATAAGCTTATGGTTATAACTTTGATTATGAATTTAAATTTTTCACAGTGTAAATTGTTTAACTAAATTTTTCAGAGATAAAGTTAGCTTTTATTTATGGTGATAAGTGATTTCTTGATATAAATTACTTCAAAAATAACAATAGCTTTCTTAATTATAATAATTTGACATAAAATAAAAATAGAGGTGGTACTTCAAAAAACTTCAACTTCAAATGCTAAATCTAATAAAAATTCACTTTGGAGTTCAAACAATGTTCAAAGTTCAAACCACATATGCAGTGAAAAAATTGCTCAAAACGCAAACACCATCTATTATGCACCCATGCTTGTATCTTTACAGCAGTGTTTCCCGACCTTTTTTTACTATGCCCCACCTAAGCCTTTCTAAAATTCTTATGCCCCCCCTAACATATACAGCAGTTATACGGTTAACTTAAACTCTGGATGAGTTCATTTTTGAATTGCCCCCCTTAACAATCAAATTGTCCCCCTGTGGGGCGTGGGTCCCACGTTGGGAAACACTGCTTTACAGTGCATTTTTCACTTCATTTTTGGTGTGTTATTTGCCAATTTTTAACAATTTTGTCCTGTAATTTTTGTTTGTTGACAGCTTTTGAGCACCACATATATTTTAAATACTTTATACCAGTGGCATTCTGTTACATTTGATGATAAGGAAACTGTGTTTCCATAAAAATTTTAAAAATACTGGAAATGACAGAAATGAACAGTTTATTTATTTTTATTCTAAAATAAATAATTGGAATGAAACAAAGATATAAAAACTTGTTTTTATTATTTTTTTTAAACTAACTACAGTATATTCAGCAATTTTTTTCTGCAAAGTTGTTAATTATTTTATCATAAAAATTGCTTGTTGTTAATTCCTTCAAAGTATTGAAAAGATCTTTTGCTATTGAAAGCAACGCTAGTGACGACAATCTTTCCTCTAACTGAGTGTTCCTTGCCAATGTGTCAATTTGCTTTGTGGCTGAAAAATTGTGCTCAACAGATGCACTTGTAAATGCCTGTAATCTGGCTGCTTTCCATGATTCAAATATTTTTGCTATGGAAGCTGTCCCATAGTCGACAATACAGCGCTTCCATTGGGAATATGCATACACAAATTTATATTTGAATATACAATAGCAATCTTATCATTGTTTTTCACATGTATAGAAATTTGTAATAAAATACATAATGCAGTTATAATAAAATATTAATTTTAAGTAATTCAAAGTATGTCAAAATGTGAAAATAATCGCACAATATGTATTTATATTTTAGAAAATACAAGGGAAGCGGCATTTCCATGGCTTCCATGGATGGCATGCCACTGCTTTATACATATCACAAAGCCCAATGTATTAATAATAAACCAAACAATCACTAATTAATTGGGCTAATTAAGTGCTATTATTAATGATTAACTATTAAGTAATTTGGTATTTGAGGTAAGCATTAGGTGCCAGCATTAGTAAATAGTATAGTTATTAAATTTAATAACTATACTATTTACTAATTAATTTAGAATATCCTGGAAGAAAAGAATCGGCCTGAAGCAGGAATCAAACCCGCAACTTCCTTTTACTGTGCAGGACCGATTGCATTACCAGTTATGATACCCAAACCTCGAGCGACCCTTTGCTCCCAGACATATTTAATTATCGGCTTAATTACTAAATTAATTACTAAGTAGTATAGTTATTAAATTTAATAAGAGATGGCACCTAATGTTTATCTCAAGTACCAATAGTTAATCATTAATAATAGCACATAATTAGCTCAGTTAATTACAGTGATAGTTTTGTTTATTAAATCCTTTAGTTCAAAATTTCTCTGAACAGAACTTTTTAAACCACATTTGACATGTAAGAAGCTTAGGAGCATCTTTCCCATAGACATTACAAATTTTTTTTACTGTTTGTATGGTGTTATATCCTGTCTGAAATTCATAAAACATAATATGCCTGATACAGATAAAAATAGTTTTATCTGAAGACATTTCAATTTGATTTATTCAAACAAAATGTGAAGTAAAAAAATTTAAATAAGCTTCTAAACAAAGAATACAATCTCATATTAGCAATAATGCTTTAAATTTCACAATTATTATAATAAAATGACACATGTTAAGTAATAACAGCTGTTAAAAATATGCAAAAACTTTTTGTTCCATCCAATATAATCTTTACTTATTAACCATGGCATCTGAGAAGTGTGTAAAAGCAATGAAGCCTAAGAGGAAGTAATATCGACAATTGAGATGAAAAATAAAAAGGAAAAGTATCATGAAGCATGAAAGCCATACACTTGTTGCAGATTCGGAGACTGTGTTTAAAATGCTGAAGTCGGCGGTGTATGACCAGTATATGCAATTTTCATTTTATTATATAGTATTTATGTACAGTAATACCCTGAACTTATGCGATAGGTGGGACCGAGCGATAACCGCGTAAGTCGGGGTATAATTTCGCATATAAATACATACAAATAATTTTTAATTGGGGCCGGAGACTAAAGAAAACAATAATTTAGAAAAAAAATCTTAGATAATATGTATGTATAATATATTATATTATACAATTTTTCACAATTACTTGATTATCACACCATAATTTTAACATTGTTTCCAACTCAGCAATAATACCATGACGTTTACGAATGACGCTTGAATTTAAAGATTGAGCATTTTTCACAGCTTCAAAAAATTTTTTTATACCTTTTATAATTGTTCTGACTGTTGATTTCGGTAGATCAAACTTCTTTGCCAATTCACAAATTTTCATTTTTGTATCGAAGTCTTTATTAATGTTAATTTTACATTCCGAAGATAAAGTTTTTCTTTTCTTGTTTGATGCAGAAGAATCAGTTCTACTTCGTTTGGATGACATAGTAGAGTCTCTCAAGTCTCTGTAGATATAACAAACACAGAAATAAATAACACAAAATGAATTGTAGCTATATGTCGATTCTGTGGGATATGTTCAAACATGTAAGATGAACAGTAGTGTGAGGGGGAGTGAATAATCAAGAGTTGTATGGTGCTCAAACAAAAGACAAATCAACGAGATTTGAAAATCGCCTAACTCTGGGTTCGCGTAATTCGGGGTAGCATAAGTTGAGGTATTACTGTATATTATTTTTATTTTCATGTTTTAATTTATTATTAGGACATTTAATCATGTTACTTTTACCTTAAATTATGTGCATTTGTTGTTTTAAGTTTATCAAAATGGGTATTGTGTAGGGTCAGGGAATGGATTAATTCACTTTCCATTATTTCTAATGGAAAAAATTGATTTGGAGTTCAAACAGCTTCCTGGAGTGAACTAAATTTGAAGTACAAGACACAATTTTAAGTTATTATTTATTATTGGAAATTCTTTTTTAAAGCAACTTTAGAAAAAATCTTATTTATAGAATATAATTTCAGAATGATTCAGTGATATTGTACTACTATTAAAGTTTTTCATGTGATTCTTTGAATGATTATTTTTTCATTTATTTGCTTTTTTCACCCTGTGGCCACTAAGATCACAATACTTTTTCATACCCATCATGAGTTTGGCAAAGTCCACAAGGGACAGTTGGGGTGAGGAACAGGACAGATCATCCATGAAAAATTTCNTTTATAACTTTGTTAAATTTCTTCTGATTTTAATTCGTAAGTAAAATTTTATTATTTTTATTAATCGCGAATCACAAAAAGGCAAATGAAAAGCGACAGAAAACTAAAAAAATGACTAGAATTACAATGGAACTGATAAAAGAGATTGTTGAGAAATACGAAGGTGGCACGTGTGTTCGAGATTTTAACTGTTGCCTACTGTATTCCGAGAACGACGATATGGACAATCGCAAAAAATAAAGACATTATTAAATCTGCTAATGTTGCGAAAGGGGTTAAATCAATTTCTAAACAGAGATCGAAGACATTAGATCATGTCGAGAAATTGCTTTTGCTTTGGATAACTGGAAAAAACAGGGCTGGAGACAGCAAATCGGAAGCAATTATTTGCGAGAAAGCTAAAAAGATACACACTGATCTCACGAAAAATCAAGCAGGAACTAGCCAGGAAAGCGAGGTGTTTAAAGCCAGCCACTTTTTTTACACGAGAACGGATTAATCATTTTTACATTACTTCTTATGGGAAAGGTTGGTTTGGTATACATCCAATTCGGTATAAGTCCAAACATCGGGAACGGATTAAGGTCGTATACCGAGGTTCCACTGTACTTCTGGAAATGAAGGCTGGCTTGAGGTCTGGGTGGTGCAATTGGTAGTGCACCACACGGCAAGTGTAGGTTGTGGATTCAAGCCCTACACCGGGTCCGTTATTTTCTTCTAGAAGGTTCCAAATTATTTATTAAAATTATAATTATTAATTTAGATAAGAGATGGCACCTAACGCTTACCTCTAATACTGAATTTATTTGTATTAATTATTTGACTATAGCCATATTATATCCTGAATATTTAGGTGTTGGATTATTATATGGATGATTGATTTTGCTTAATAAAATGATCATCTATAGTTAATTATTACAAGCAGTATACATAAAACATTTTTATGTGAATAATTTCATGAAAATGAGGATAAATAAAGTAAGTTAAATATATATCTGAAATTGACATTACATAATCTTTGTACCTATATTTCTCTTAGTTTAAGCTATTGGTCAATTAGCAGTTTCCACCTGAAATTTGAATTAAACAATGTAAAGAAGTCTCACCTTCATTTTATTACTAAGTTAATTTACTATAAAATACATTGTTACAAATTGCAAATAATTTAATTATTTTTCCTTGATATTTTTATCTTTTAATATCAGGGATTTTAATCTGATTGCTGCTATATTGAATGCTACAGAACAGTGAGAATGAAGATTGCTATTGTGTTACAATATAAATTAGAAAAATTTATTTAATATGTAATAAATTAAGTTTTTTTTTTAAATCAGTGTCTGAAAAAATGGACATGCTTATTACTTTGGTAGGGATTATTTGAGTAAATATGTAATTGATTTAAAAAGAAATGTGTGTAAATCTGCAGCAATGCAAACTTTTCAAGTATAAAAACAAAATGCAAATTAAAAATTGTGATCTTTACAAGTCATGATGCAACATATGATGCCAATGTCTACAAAAGAGCCAACATTATGCAGTCTGGTAATTAGTAGAGCACTGCAACAATCTTCTGTATTCACCAACATTACTGTAAAATGATTATGCTTTATGGGGAAAGAAGATGAAATGCACAAGAAGCAATCACATAATTCCACAAGCATTTTCCAGCTGCTCCAAGACCAAGATGTTTTGAATGTATACTATATCTATACTAATATTATAAAGAGGTAATGTTTGTAAGTATGTATGTAAGTTTGTTTGCAGCAGGTAATCTCCGAAACTACTCATCCTATTTCAAAAATTCTTTCACCAATATTTAGAATGGAAATTCAGGGTGGACATAGGCTGTATATTATCCCATTAAACATTCATATAAATTAAAAGATATCATCTAGGGTTAAGGTTTTTATGTCCAACAGATGGCGCTACAAGTATGACGACCTAAGTTTGCTTTTCTGTGAGGATGAACTAAAGCAGATCATCTTCTATCTATCTATATAAATAAAAATGTAATGTTCATTTGTTCCTACCGATTCCTTTGAAATTTTGACACAACACTGCATTTGAATATGCACGTGTTTTTATATAATATACATGTCGAAATTCCCTCCCCCCACTGGGGGGAGATGGACAGGCTTAAGGCTTACCATGAAGAACTTAGCTTCTATTATACTATTTTAGATGCGGTTTTTTATGTTTTAATAGGGTACGTGAAGAGAATGTACACTAAGAAGGAATTTTTTGAAAAATTCCCCCCCCACGGGGGAAGTGTTATACATTTTGAGCCACAACAATGCGTGGTGAGGTCTGCTAGTAATAAAATAAAACAAATGTTGTTTTTTATTCTTTACAGTCAGAGATTCTTTGTATGTTATGGTAAATTTTCTTAAAGTGATTTTCTTCTATCTTTGTGATTGGAAGAGGTAGGGAAAATAGTTTATTTCCTTGCCACAGAACTACAGCATAATGTAAACATGTTTCTTTTTGAATGAATTAACTTATTTTACTATAATCATTGCAATGAATCTGATGCACTGTAATGCTGGAAAGACTTTTGCACCTCTGGATAAATGTTAAAGTGAATATTCTGTATTTTAAAATACAGTAAATCATGCTATTGAATCATTTAGAACATGATGCTAAGTGAAAATGATTGGTTGTAAATATTAATAATTCTATTATTTAATAATTCATTTCTTACAGACATCATTCTTCAAGACATCATGAAAGAAAAAGTTCAAAAACAGTTAAAAGATCAAGATCTAGGTAAAGAATGTATATTATTTGAATGTCTTTAAACAGATCTTAAAAACAGTTAAGATAATTCTGATAAAGCCCATTATTTTATTGAAAGTATTTAGTTTAAATTTATTAAATGTTCAGATCAGTTAAAATCCATAAAGATTTTTCAAACTGTATTGAATTCATTATGAACAGATCTCCATCACCATCCAGAAAAAGGCCTTATGATGCTCGCGAAAAAATAGATAAAGCTCGTTTACTTCAAGTCGCTCAGAAAAATGTTTTAATGATGTTAGAAAAGGGAACGTTACCAAAAGGATTTAATATTGATTCTATTCGGCCAGAACAACGGGTGTCATTGAAGACGGGAGGAAAATCTGTTCAGGAATTAACTGGTATGTGCATTTATATTATTTTATGAAATTCTAATTATTTATGAAAGTTAAAGTGTAATTTGATTAAAGCCAAGTGATAGTCAGATTAGTTCAGGCTATATTACTGCTATTAATAATTAAATGCTAAGTAATTTGGCCTAGAGATGGGTGTTAGGTGACATCTTTTATTACATCTAATCTAATCTGGTGATCATTTTGCTTTAATATAATTATTGGGCTTTATTATATTTGTGTAATTTGATTTCAAAAGTATGGTGTATAAGCTTAAATCTGACTTGAAATTAGATGTAAATTAAATAATTATCAAGACATATCTAAGCATGATAAAATAAATCAATTTGTTTTTGAAACTTTAAATTCAAAGTGAGAGTTAAGTATTTATTTTTGATTCATTCTACCTCGAAGGCACTAAGAGGGCCTTTTTAATTATATCCATCATGGCTTTAGCCAGGATCACAATGGGTGTGGCCATATGATAAGGGATGTCCCGAGTATCTGTGAAAAATTCCTGGTCTTTTTTTATTATTATTTAAATTTCAGAATAAATATAATGAAATAACGTTTGCTAATGACATCAAAACTTGGTAATATAACCTTATATTTTTCTGCATAAATATGTTCAGTTCTGATAATTGCAAATTATGATGTCAGTACAATTCATTCAGCCATTTAAATGTTAAAATTAATATAGCAAAATATTGGTTAGTAAATCAACTTTCACACACTTAAAGGTCTTTTAGTATGAAATTATTTTGTATTTTAGATTTTTGCCGTGCTATATCACAGAGAGATCAAGAGGACAATTCTAGTAATGGAAGTCAGGATAAACAAAGTGATATTGACACTCCATTTATACATCATCCTTTTAAACTTAAAGAGCATCAGCCAGTGATAAAACTAAATATTAAGGTAATAAACTTTTTTGGTTGAAATTTTATTGATTTGAAAGATAAATATTTTACTTATAATTGAAAATTAATAAAAAAATTTTTAAACAGAATGCTGTACAGTTACCAGTAAAAACGCCTGCCGAAAAAGTTGCAGATGCCGCTCGTTTACGCACACAGTTTCCTGTTTCTAGCGGCAGTCAGCATCGACTTAAAGAACTTCAGTGGGTTCCCGTTGAAGAAGATTCTAAGTCATCGACTAAATCTTCTAAATCTTCGCCTGCAAATACTGTTTCTGTGATTGAATCTCAAACTGAAATTGTTTCAACACCACCAGAACCAGAAGAACCACCTCCTCCCCCTCCTCCTCTACCACCACCAGCACCTGTAATTAGTACTTTTGCTCCTGCTGTGCAATCTACCTCATTTTTTGAGTCAGTTTCACAAAATACTAGCATGCATGATATGGTTTGTATA